AGAGTGAGACTCTGTCTCAAAAAAAAAAAAAAAAAAATCTGGGTTTTGGTTTAACCTTTAGTTACACAAGATATATTAGGTGAAATTGGCCTAAAGAGAACATGGGATCTCTCAACTATTTTTGCAACCTCCCTTGAATTGACAATTATTTCAAAATAAATAGGTTTTTTAAAAAGCATGAATTTTTGATAACATATCTCAAATGCATTATGCTGAGTGAAAGAAGCCATATGCAAAAGGCTGCGTACATACTGTGTGATTCCATTTATCTGACATGCAGGAAAAGGCAAAACTATCAGAGAACATACCATTGCTCATCTGGGATTAGGGATTGGGGATTGACCACAAAGGGGCCACATGAGGGAATTTTCTGGGTCAGTGAAATGGTTCAATATCTGGTTCTGTATCTTGATGGTGGTGTTGGTTTTACAACCGTATGCATTTATCAAAAACTATAGAACTACAAAAGTGAATTTTACTTTATGTGAATCAAAAAATCAAAAAAGAGGGCCAGGCATGGTGGCTCACGCCTGTAATACCACCGCTTTCAGAGGCTGAGGCAGGATGATTGCTTGTGCCTAGGAGTTCCAGACCAGCCTGAGCAACATAGCAAGACCCTGTCTCTACAAAAACGAGCTGGGCGTGGTGGCGTGTGCCTGTAGTCCCAGCTACATAGGAGGCTGAGCCAGGAAGATTGTTTGAACCCAGAAGTTGAGGTTGCAGTGAACTTTGATGATGCTACTGCACTCTAGCCCAGGCAACAAAGTGAGACTCTGTCCCCCCCAAAAAAAACCAAAAACCAAAAAAACTTGTTCTGAAATATAAATACATTTTCTAAGAGCTTACCTTTTGATGACTGAGAATTTTCCAAAAATTTCTAAGAAATGTGTGTTTTCTTTCCCAACAGGTGATGCTATGAGTGAAGAAGACATGCTTCAGGCAGCTGTGACCATGTCTTTAGAAACTGTTAGAAATAACTTGAAAACAGAAGGAAAAAAATAATACCTTTTAAAAATCATTTAGCTATTCATACTTTCCAACATTATCCTGTGTGGTTACAACATAGGGTCCATTTTGGTAATGTGTCAAATAGATGAGGAAATTAAGACTTTTAGGTGGTTTGCAAACAAAATGATGACAAAGTGGGAAAATGTGTCAGTTGTAGGACTAAATAATGATCCTTTAAATATTAAATAATGATCCTTTCAATACTAGCCAAAGAGGCATTCAGCAATTAAAGAAATTTAAAATAGTTTTATAAATGTTCCTTTTTATTTTTTTGAGTGTGCAATATCTAACATGTATAAAATTAGGGCATTTTGGGGGGTGTTTTTGCAGACCAACTAATTAGCTCTTGCCACAGAACTTTCTTCATATAGTTGGTTTTCTTCTTCTGTTATAGCTAATTTGGCTCACTTTCATCATCTGATAGTTGCCTTTATTTCTCATTAACCAAATTAACCTTTCAGGAAAGTATCTCTTGCCTGTGTTGATAATATTTAATAGTAATGGTTCCAGAAGGACAAATGGTTCTCCCTCCAACTATGTATCGTGCACTTGAGTGTTTTCTCATGTTATTTCCTCTGATCACAATTTTTCTGCTACCTGGTTTTCATTATTTTTCTACAACTCTTTTGAAAGATGGTAATCTTTTCTGAGGTTTTGTTTTAAGCCCTCTACGATGGGATCATTATTTTATGACTCTGGTGCATTCCTAAACTCTGAAAGCAGCCCTATACAGAAATATCTGAGAATAAATGAGCATTTTTAAAAATGTGTGAGTACATGCTTTCCCAGATGCTTTATGAATGTCTTTTCAGTATGTTAGAATTTCACAGCTCTGTTGTAACCTTTTTCCTGCGCCTTATTATTTTCTTTCTTCTCCAATTGAGAAAAATAGGAGAAGCATAGTATGCAAGCCAGCTTCCTTCTGTTATAAAACTTAGGCCGGGCGCGGTGGCTCACGCCTGTAATCCTAGCACTCTGGGAGGCCGAGGCGGGTGTATCGTTTGAGCCCAGGAGTTCAAGACCAGCCTGAGCAAGAGCGAGAGCCCGTCTCTACCAAAAATAGAAAGAAATTAATTGGACAGCTAAAAATATATAGAAAAAATTAGCCGGGCA